CTCCGGCATATACAAAGCCAGCACTCCCCCCACCACTCCACACACCCCAAACACCAAGAAAGTCACCCCTCCCCCCATCACCACCACCATCGGCGCCACCACCGCCCCAATCTGCTCCGCCTGCTGCACACATCCCAACGCTGTGTTCCTCACCGTCGTGGGAAACAACTCCGCCGTATACACCAACAGCAAATTATACGTTGCAGCTATCCCAAATATTCCCATCACCCCACAAGCCATCCTCACCACTCCCCCCGCCACCACTGCCCCCGCCACACAGAACACCCCGCTCAACCACATCGTCCCAACGGTCAGTCTCCTCCTGCCGAACCTCCCAATCAAGAAGGCCGCGATGGTGAACGCCGGCAACTCCGACACTGAGTTTATTATCACGCTGAGGTAAATGTTGGTGTCTAGGTTAGCGGCGTTTAATGTCAGGCCGTAGTATACAACGGAGCAGAAGAAGCTTGTGATGACGGAGAGGATTAGTCGGGGGCGAGTGACGCGCGAGCGGATAACGTCGATGATGGATGGCGGAGATATTTCGGCTTCGACTTCAGCTTCAGCTCCGCAGTCGAGGGCGAGAGTGACGTTAGAGGGGATAATGGAGCGGGAATTGGATTTGGCGATGGAGCGGAGGATGCGCAGAGCGGTGTCGGGGTTGCGGCGGATGAGGTGCCAGCGGGGGGATTCGGAGAGGAAGGGGAGGATGAGGAGAACGAAGGCTAGGGTTGGGAGAGAGGAGGCGAAGTAGAGGGAGCGCCAGGAGAAGGGGAGGCAGGAGGCCAGGAGGGCGATGAAGATGATGCCGGCGGAGAAGAAGTAGAAGACGGAAATGCCGGCGGCGGCTCGGCGGGAAGGGCCGATGGGCTCCGTGGCGAGGAGGAAGGCGGTGGTGCCCATGGGACCGGTGCAGAGGCCGGTGAGAATGCGGAGGAGGACGTAGATGGTGTAGGAAGGGGAGAAGGCGGTGAGGCAGCCGAGTATTGTGTTTACTATGCAGCCCACTATAAGAGAACCTTTGCGGCCCAAGAAGGAGTCCGATAGGTGGCCGAATATTCCGCAGCCTGTAAATGAGAATAAATTAAATATTCACAATTATTAGTCACAGATATT